AATAGATTTAGGCTTTCCAGTCTTTCTATGTAAGAGTGGTTTTTTAGACCTCTTACTAGCTTTATTGCCCGACGTTGCACTTTCTCGAGACATGTTGTGTCTTTTGCAAGCCATGGCCACTACGCCAGTATACCATATTCTAGGTGTGGTCGAATGAAGGCTTCGTACACTTGGCCAAAGAGATATTTGTGGAAAGCTACAAACTCCCTTTTGATAGCGTGCAGCATTCCCGTAACTTTCTATGCAGTCTTGATACATTGTAACGATGGCTTCAAATGGCTCTGCATCCAAATGCCGAGTTCTTTCTGCGAAGATTCTACAGGAAGTTGAGTGTTGTTCAGGTAATGTCTCCTTATGCCGTGAGGTATAGGATAGTTCGTTGGAGGCAGGTGGGAGACGGCATACTTTTGCACATTGCAATCGACGAGCCATCTCTCGGAACACGTCTGCAGTCTGTAAAGATTATTTTTCAGAGCTGCTCGGGCGCTAAATTATCTGCCAGAGCTTAAATGTGAGCTTTTCGCTCTTCTGATCAGACAGTCTGCTGATTTACGAACGTAGGCTTTAATAACCTGTCTGTATCAAAATTTTTTTCTCATTTTTTTCTAAACCGCATTTAAAACGCTTTTAAAGGTGAAACTTTAGGAGAAGCCAACAAAGGTCTCTTTCTGAAAGTGATATTTTTTTGCAAAAGTCCAAAATAACCTATGTAAGGGTAGTTTTTAACTTTTATGGTACGTCATTTTTAGAATCACTCGGCGACTGCTCGTTTCTCAACACCTGCTTCCACGTGGAGACCTGCAAGGTGAGGATACTTTGTTTTTTCTGCAGCCTGCAACATGCCCCTGTAGTCGTTGCGTTAACTGGTTACTTAAAAACAAGCAGTAGCAATGTTTGTTTATGTTTTTTATTTAAATCTGCCTTTCAGTACGTGCACTATGAAATCGACCCGGCGGATTTGACCACAGATGAGGCAGTGGCTGCAGCCGGCGCCTACAATCGCGGCCAACTTTGTCCTCAAACTCTCGGAGGAGGCTCAAAACGACAGGTGGACCCGGCGGCTGATAGCAAGTCGGATGCAGTTAACGGTGAAAACAAGTCGATCGTACCACGCTGTGCCCCTGTAACCGCGGCTAGCGATGTGCCAATGTATGCCCCACAGGTATGTCTCCCCCTCCCCCCTCCTTTGGGTTCATGCCTGAACACAGCATTTTAGAGTGCCTGTTTATCTGGCCAGCCAGCCAGTCAACCGATTCGATAGAAAGACTTTGTAACCGTATAAACTAAGGCTCTTGACATTGTAAGCCAAAGGAAAGAGGCGTTTACGTCTAAGGCGAGTGTTATAACTTTGTGTGTTCCTGTGTCAACACCGGTTATGTCACCCAGTTGTGTGTTAGGAAGAGAAGGCAGAACAGGATAGCAGATAGTACTTTACTGTCACTAGTTCTGCTTATACATCAGCTCTGTTTCCTGTGTGTCCGTCGGCAGCTTGTCTTCTGTGTCGGTCAGCAGCTTGTGTTTTGTCGTCGTCGTCTCGGATAATAGCGTTCCGTGTCTCTACCAGCCGTGTCTCGGGTCGTCTGCAACGTCTCCAGCAACAGAGTGCCGCCTTCAGCGGTTGCAGCATATTTAAGGGCCAGTAGACATTGCTCCCCATTGGCTCTCCACGAGTGGCCGTGCGCGCGCTTGCCTACGCGCGTATGTGCATGTGTTCTCAATGTGACCTACCGATAGCGGCAACCTGACCCCGGGGCAGTCTCGCTTGCGCGTGCCTTTTTTGAAGGTCGCTTGCAACTACATGAACCGGTCGCCAGTAAACTCCCTTTTTTCTGGTACCGTCAGGATTGTCCGAGTGATAAATCGCGTCCGGGACGTCCCAACAGCCTCAATTGCCTCTCTGGTGTTCCGAAAATTTCCTCCTCTCTCCTTTTTGATGCTCACGTTAATTTTTTTGCAGTGGATCAACTGTGATATCCGCCAGCTGGACATGACCTTCCTGGGCAAGTTTGCAGTCATTATGGCCGATCCGCCCTGGGATATTCACATGGAACTACCCTACGGGACCATGTCGGACGACGAGATGCGACGGATGGATATCCCCTGTCTACAGGATGATGGCTATATTTTTCTCTGGGTGACTGGAAGGTGCGTCATTGCTGTGCGCTCGTTTTACAATAACCTCTTCCCGCTCCTGCATATTGTATTTACTCTACAACCTGGCCCCTTCTTTTTGTATGTGTGCAGAGCAATGGAACTTGGTCGTGAGTGTCTCAGCCTCTGGGGTTATGAACGCTGCGATGAGATCATTTGGGTGAAGACCAATCAGTTGCAACGTCTCATTCGCACCGGACGAACGGGCCATTGGTTGAATCACGGGAAGGAGCACTGCCTTGTCGGTGTCAAGGGTAATCCACAGGTTAGTATTGCTTACTTACGTACGAACGGGCCTCTTTCCGAGCGCCACAATCAGTATGCCACAAAACACCCTACTGACTTTAATTTAGTAGCGTAAATAAGTACAATTGAATAACACGGATGTTCACGTGCTAAAGCACGCTTTTGCCTTGACACAGTGTATGAACAAGGGCCTCGACTGTGATGTCATTGTGTCGGAAGTGCGAGAGACGAGCAGAAAACCGGATGAAATCTACGGGATTATCGAAAGGCTGTCGCCGGGCACTCGGAAGATTGAGCTTTTTGGTCGTCCACACAACTTGCAGGCAAATTGGTGAGTTGTGGAAGCTCCCTTAAACATGTGATTTTGTTCGTTTCTTCCTCCTCCTTATCGATTTCCCCAAACTGAAAACGGCAATCCGGTCACAGTAGGCGTTGCGAGCCATAGCTGTTTCAAACTAAGGAAGAAGACTTGTCGAGCACCGGATCAATTGGTTTATTGTCCTGAGCT